ATACTAAAGCAGCCCCTTGCTATAAAAATCTCAGGACCAGATGGATTCGCTGAAGAATTCTACCAGAGCTTCAAAGAAGAACTAACACCAATACTATTCTTTTTATAAAGTCAGTATTATGATACCCAAACCATATAAAGACATGACAAATAAAGAAAATTATAAACTGAACTCCAAGATGAACATAGGATGGAAATATTCTCAATAAAATGTTGGCAAACTGAATCCAAAATAATATCAAAAAAGGTCATTCATCCTGACTAAGTTGGTTTTATTGCAGAAATGTGAAGACGGTTCAATATTCACAAATCAATAAATGTTATTCATCACATAAACAGACACTTAAACAAAGATGACCTGCTCAACTCATTAGATTTAGAAAAAGCCTTTGGGAAAATCCAACATCTCTTAATGTTAAAAATCACAGAGAGGGCTGGAGAAATGACTCAGCGGTTAAGATCACCAACTGCTCTTCCAGAGGTCCTGAGTTCATTTCCCAGTGACAAAATGGTGGATCACAACCATCTGTAATGGGATCTGATGTGTCTGAAGAGAGCAATGGTATATTCATATACATTAAATAAAAATAAATAAATCTTAAAAAAATCATAGAGAGGCTAGGAATGGAGGGAACATATCTTTTAAACAATATATTTATTGATTCTTTGATAGTGCCATGCTTATTTTCATCAAGTCTGTACCCTCTCCTAACTCCTCCTAGATCCACATCTTATTCCATACCCTACACCAACATTGTGTCCTCAGTAAAAACGAAAACAAAAACAAAAACAAACAAAAGCCCCACAAAACAAGTTCAATTTTGGCTGCTTTTATATTCTTGTGTTTGTGAAATTCCATTCAACTTACCAAATATAAATACAACCAAAAAAATCAAACTAACTCCTCCACTCACAGCAACTCTCAGTTAGCAACAGCTCAACAGCTAGTGCTAGGAATTCATGACCCTCTTCCTCCTCCATGCTTGGATTTTTGTCTGGCCTGAGTTTTCAAAGGTCTTGTGGGTGCTATTACAACTGCTGTGAGTTCACGTATACACCTTTCCTGCCTTTCAAGCAAGAGAACCTATCTTATTATATCTTAACATAATAAAGGTTATATATAACAAACCTATAGCCAACATCATGATGAATGGAGAAAAGCTCAAGATATTTCCACTAAGATCAGAAAGAAAACAAAATCATTTACACAGTCTATTCCTAGTTAATATAGTGATTGAAGACTTAGGTAAAGCAATAAGACAGGAGGAGGAAATAAAAGGGATACAAATATGAAGTCCCAGTATTCCTATTTTCAAATGATATGACTGTCTATATTAGAGACATGAGATATTCTACCAAAACCTTTTAGAGTTAATAAACACTTTCAACAAAGTGGCAGCAGTCTTCTTATGTATGAATGAGAAACAGACTGAAAATAATCAGGGGGAAATTCCATTTTTAATAACCACAAAGTATAACATACCTGGGAGTAAACCTAACCAAGCACAAAGTACCCAATAATGAAAACCTATTCTCTTCTTCGGTGTCTTCTTTTTTTCCCCTTTTGAAATAAATTCTCATTATGTAGCTCAGGCTATCATGAAGCTCACTATGTGGCCAAGGCCTCCCTTGAGCCCACAATCTTCCTAATTTTACTAGGGTTACAATAAGCATGTGCTACTTTACTTGGATCTAGTAATATATTCTTATAATTATTTTAATTTGTCAGGGTTGCAGATTTTTTTTATTAGTCTTTATGTAGTTCTTCTTGAATTATATGATTAAGTAAGTAAGTATGATCAATTTTGTCAGCTAGGTATAGAATATGACAAAAGAATACATTTCAATGTGCATATATAAGTCTGTTTATGTAACTTATAAGTGAGGATTAGTTGGAAAAATGCTTCTTAGTATGCAAAAAACCTTGGGTTGGATGGTTGGATCTATATAAAGTGAATGTGGTAATGTATGCCTGTAATTCCACTGCACAGGAACAAGAGGCAGAAGAATCAAAGGTTCAGTGATACATCCAGCTACATAATGAATTGTAGCAGTGAATTAGGTAAACTGCTTTGTCTCCTGTCAAGTTGTGCACCCTGCACCTGCCCAAGGGCTCTCTGGATTTGTTAATGAAGGACACACACACACACACACACACACACACACACACACACACACACACACCAGCTAATTTTGATATGCCTTTACTAGCACAATGTCTGAGCACTTCTAAACCTCCCAGTGGTTAGCCCTGTTACCTTTTGGGACCCACCCCCAGCCCCCATAGGGTCGCATTCCCTTTCCACCTACATTGCTGGATGATTTTTCTCCTGCAGCTATTAAATCTGATTCCTCTCTTCCAAGTCATGGTGATTCTCCTCCACTTCTCCCCTGTCTTGGTCCCTTGCCCTCGAAATCTAAAAGTCCCGCTCCATCTTCCTGCCCAGTCATTGGCTGTAAGGCAATTCTTTATTATCGAAGCCAGCTAAGGGCAGGGACCCTCAGGTCTGGAAATGCAGCTTTTGGGAGCCGAAATAAGACAAAGCATTAGAACCAATTCTCAACAATGAGTTTCAGGCCAGTCTGGGCTATATGAGACCCTATCTCAACAAAACAAAACAAAACAAAACAAAACAAAACAAAACAAAACAAAACAACCCTATGAATATATTTGATTTGTTTTGAGAAATCAAACAGCTGTATGTAGTATGTTTACTACAACTGTTAGATATTTTGTGTAGGCTTTTCCTCTGGCGGCAGCCATCAGGTGAGCCAAGATGGGTGCATACAAACACATTCAGGAGCTATGGAGGAAGAAGCAGTCAGATGTGATGATGTGATGTGCTTTCTTCTGAAGGTCCGCTGCTGGCAATACCGCCAGCTCTCTGTGCTCCACAGGGCTCCCCGCCAGACCCGGCCTGATAAAGCTCAAAGACAGGGATACAAGGCTAAGCAAGGTTATGTCATTTACAGGATTCGTGTCCGCTGTGGTGGTCGCAAATGCCCAGTTCCTAAGGGTGCAACTTAGGGCAAGCCTGCGCACCATGGTGTTAACCAGCTGAAATTTACCTGAAGCCTTCAGTCTGTTGCTGAGGAGAGAGCTGGGCCCCATTGTGGGGCTTTCAGAGTCCTGAATTCCTACTGGGTTGTTGAAGATTCCACATATAAATTTTTTGAGTTTATTTATCCTCATTGATTCCTTCCATAAAGCTATCAGGAGAAATCCTGACACCCAGTGGATCACCAAACCAGTTCACAAGCACAGAGAGATGCATGGGCTGACATCTGCTGGCTGAAAGAGCAGTGGCCTTAGAAAGGGCAACAAGTTCTACCACACTATTGGTGGTTCTCGTCGTGCAGCCTGGAGAAGGCGCAATACTCTCCAGCTCCACTGTTACTGCTAATACATGTGATATTTGTAAAATTCATATCCAATAAACCATTTCTGTTTAAAAAATTTTTATAGTTCCCTTTGTGTAAGCAGAAATTAAAATGTGGATGATGGTTTATGACACTTCTGTAAATATAGGGTAATTTTATATATACGTTGACCATTTTTTTTCTGGAAAACATTCATGACATTAATTAAATTTTTTTTCACAATTTACTGCACACTCTCAAGAAGGTTCAAATGTATTTTATAAGGGTTAACATTTAGGTTAGTGGACAATATTTTGGGGGAAATGGGAAAGAAACAAATACATAAAAATGAATTTGTAAGCATATGTGCACTTAAGGCAACATGTTTTAAACTTTAGTGTGTATGCGAATTACCTGTTCTTGGTAAAAATGTCAACTCTGATTTATTAGTTCTGGGGTGGGGTGTAAGATTTTGTATTTCTAACAAGCTTAGAGATAATACTTTGTTGCTAGTCTTGGAACACATGATTATAAGTCTGTTAGATCAATGATTTCTATCAAGAGTCTTTTGTGATGGAAGGATTTACAGAAGATGTCAGTGGCAGTGATTATGTTTTAGTACTTTATTCAAGTAAGAATATCTGCAAAGGCCCTTATGCTAACTGCCAGCTTTCCATTTCAAACTCAGAATTGAGGACAAGCTGGGTTTGGTGGTACATGCCTATGTTCCCAGTGCCCAGGGAGGCTGAGGACAGATGGCAAGTTTGAGGATAGCCTAGGCAGCATAGGAAGACTCTGCTTCAAAATATGTGCATTGTGTAGAATATAATCTCCCTATATGTCAGAGCAGAGAATGTGTGTGTGTGTGTGTGTCTGTGTGTGTGTGTGTGTGAGAGAGAGAGAGAGAGAGAGAGAGAGAGAGAGAGAGAGAGAGAGCTGCTGACAAGTCTGTATGACAAGTTGACAAGCCACTGCTTATCTTCAAGATGAGACAATGAGGAATGATATATATATATACCAGGCTGACTATTGTGCTACCTCTCTATTCAGTCTAAGGGGATTTCAGGAGAATAGTGTCTAAGAAATATGAATTCTTTTTATAGTTTTGGTAAACTTATTTTTATTATTTTACTTATGTGGGTTGAGGGGTATTCTCTCTCTCTCTCTCTCTCTCTCTCTCTCTGTGTGTGTGTGTGTGTGTGTGTGTGTGTGTGTGTGTGTGTGCAAATATCTGCAGAGGCTGTAGGGTTCAGATCTCCTAGATCCGTAACACTAGAGTTATAAGGAGTCGTGAGACACTGATGTAGGTTCTAGGAAACAAACTGAGGTCTTCTGTGAGAACAACAAGGCACCTCTCCCTTTTTAACCTTTTTTAGCTGACAAAATTATGTTTCCTTACAGAAATTTTATACATACTTACTTTTAGTGGATGCTTCCTGCTCCTCCATACCCCAGTTACTTTCATATAACATAGGTTCTATTGCCCCATCTCTCTTCTCCTTTATTGCTTCTTTTCCCAGTCTCATGAATCCTTTTCAAGTTTCCTGCACAAATCTTAATGTACATACAAGCTATTCAGTGAACGCACTGAATTCTATCATTTTGCATGGATTTTTTTTTTATCTTAAAAATGCCGATTTCTCCCTCTGGCAATGGGCAAAGAAAACATCTTGCTGGTGGTGTTCTTATATTAGTCAGGAGCAGAGCAGATGGCAGTCCTTTGTTCATCTTAGCTTGATGCCTGGCTTGATGGCCAAAACTCTCTTATGCCTAGGATAGTTAAAAATCAAATCAAATTAAATCAGATCAAGTCCAGGACAGCACGGGACAGGAAAAGGAAGACAGACCTGCATTCTTCCATGCCACATGATGTGGCCAGAAAAAGATATCCACAGACCTGCCCTCCACCCCACAGTATGGGAGGCTCATAGACAGAGAGAGCCCTGCCTACCACCACATTATGGAGCACAGGAGGAAAAAGAGAGACAGAGATCTGCAGACTGCTAAGTAACCAACAGATCCACAGAGCACAAGAGGGCTGTAGACACCTGATTGCTGGAGGATGCCACCCAGGGGCTGTTAGATTCAAGGCCAGCTTGCACTGGGGACAACCACAATGTGTGAGCATGTGGTGGACAGATTGGAAAGAAAGAGAAGTGGCATGAGCATGATGAAGAGAGATGGAAACGGAGACTCCAAGGTGAAGAGGAGGAGCCTGTTGTGAGTGGCCAGCACCATCACCTGGGACTATAGTGAGGTCCCAGCCTGACTTGTCACTCAGAACCATGTCTGAGTCTGTGACTATTCAGTTGCAGGAGTCAGTGTTGATGTGCATGGCTCATATTATCACCTGAGAATATAGGGACATCTCTGGTTGGGGCAGCTGCTGGGAACAACCTGGATGTCCAAGGGCTGGCTATGCAGAACTGCCCCTCCTCCCTCACTGGCTGCAGCATTCTGGAGACCTGGCCCTACCTCTCACTGGTGTAAGCACTTGGAGTAGGGGCTGTGTCTTGCCCTGGCAACACAGTGGAGCTGGCCTTGGTGATGAAGAAGGGTGTGAGTGTGGGAGAGCTGACCCTGACACTCTTCTGCTGTGGGGTACACAGGCACAGAGGCAAACCCTGGCCTTACCTCTAGCAGTCAGATATGCTCCTCACAGAGTCATGAGAGCAGGAGAGCAGGGCCTGCAACTCTCCTGGGCAGCACAGTAGTGCTGTCTCTGGTTGAGGGGGCCCAGGTGAGTTACCCTGAGGGCAAGAATGGGGGAGTGCTTGTTCAGCCACTTGTCTACCATGAGGTGGTGTGGGGACAAGATGCCATCTCCTTCTTCCCCTTTGCCCTCTGCAGTAGTCCAGAGAACTGACCCCAGGACTTAGTAACATGAGAACGGGAGAGCTAGCCATTCCCCGACACCCCTGCATTGGATGTAGCACTTGGGAGAACTAGCCCTGTTGTCTGGGCAACACAGCAGAGCTGACCCTGATGGAGGAAGCATGGGTCAGCCAGAGGGTGTGAGGTTCGGACAGCTGGCCCAGCCCCTCATAGGCTACTTGGGAGAATGGGGCCTGTGTTGCTGGGCAGCACAGTGGACTGGCAGTGGTGGTGTAGGTGCACTGGCCCTGAGGACACAAAAGCAGAACTGACCCTGCCTCCTGCTGATGGCAGCACTGGGTGGCCTAGCTAGAACAGTCCTGGAGAGAGTGCCTTGGTGACATGGGTGCAGGAGAATTGGATGGCTGACCAACTCAGCTACCACCCAGGCCCAGATCCAGGGCTTTGATTTGAGCTACCGCAAAATCTCCATCTATGAACTCCTGGAGAATATGAAAGGGCTAATCTTACATATATAGAGTTGCAGAACCTCCATGACACAGGGCAATAACCTGGAGGAGACCTGGTAAGGATCCAACATTGATGGTGCCACAGAAGCCAGAGATCTGAAAGATCATTGTAACCAACATTTGTAAGTGAAGATGTTTGGACAGAGGGATATGCTGTGGGACACACTATTACATATTACAGCTTCCAGGGTGTTTTGGCGTGTGTGTGTGTGTGTGTGTGTGTGTGTGTGTTTGGAGGGAAGGTTGCAAAGGGCAAAAGGCAGATATGAGGAGACAGGGAGATAAGCTTGGACTAGGATACATGATGTGAAGCTCACAAAGAATCAATACAAAGTTTAGAAAACTGTTGATTTCAAGATGTTAAAAGAGAGATTTCCCAAATTTTCAAGGTACTATGCTTCTGTGAATACTGGGAGGGAATCTATAACTCAAATGATTGAGAGGCTATTACTAACTAAATTGTTTGGAACTGGAAAAGAGTTAAAAACGGTATAGGACTTCTCATTTATGGTACGCTTAAGAGCCAAAATTTATCTCTAAATGTATATGACATTTTATTTCCAGTAATACCACTCAATACTGAACTCAAAGCTGGAAAAGCAAAAGTTTATAATTTGGTGTCTGGCATTTCATAGATTTATGTTCTCAATACAGCTAAGTTGAAGTCTTCCACTGCATGATATGCACAAAGGGCAACTGAAAGGAATGAAATGGAACAATTACTTATAAGTAGGGCTGCATAGCTGAGGGAAGATGTATGGGATGGTGAATGAGCTGGACTCACTGCTATTAATAAGGCCTGAGAAGGAAAGTGCTACTGCAACCTAGTGAGAGATATGGCTCATCTCTACTTGCAGAGTAGTCTTTGTATACATAACACAAGTATCACCTGAGAACTCAGATCCTGTCCCAGATTGGTTAAATTAAAATCTGCACTTTTAAGAAAACCCAAATTTTTTGGATTCTTATACTATGAGAAACTCTCCTCTAGCTGTAAGGGAAAATGGCTTGCAGAAGTTGTGCTCTTCACTTGAGGAAAACAGGCACTGCTAACCTCTGGCCAGGCAGGAAGAAGCTGAAGAATAAACATACCAAGCTCAGCATTGTCCCATATTCCAGTCTTTCATTCATGTATCTGGATGCTAAAGCTAACCAGAAGCCACAGGATAAGGGAGTAATTTGATGTAATCTGTGAAGCATAGAACATACAGAAAAAGGAAGACGGGGCGGGGGGGGGGGAACAGACTATTCAGCATATCCGTTTAAAATAACTTTAAATGTAATTATGTTATAGTATTATCATAGTGCATCAAATCAAACTGCTAGGGTAAGGAAACATTTTTGTAAAGAATGTATAAATCAGAATTGAGGAATGATCATAGGTATAATTCTTCTTAAGCCCCCAACTTTCACTGTCATTGCCAAATAGGCTCTAATTAGAAAACCCACTCATAACAATGTCTAGAGGAGCTCTGTAATTTTGATCATTAGTAATAATATAAAAAGATGATAGAATGTATTTGATTTAATGGCAACCATGAAGATTTAAGTCTATAATATTACATAATTATGTGCAACCACTGTAATTTAAATAAAATGAGTTCTGAGATTACTTTCAAGTTTGCAGATCAAGGAAAAGGTAAAAACTTTAATGGTCTCTCATCTGCTAAGATCTGGATTTCTCTTCATGTGTGAGCTATTCTGTTAGTTAGAATGGTCTTCTGCTGACTGAAACAGAAGTGCAAATTAACTATGGATTTAAAAAGATCAAATTTTATTTCTCCTTTATTGAATAGTGGTATGATACTACAACTCTGAATGATTTTAGAGACATCTTATTCTGCTTGTATTTTCTTTCTATGTTCTTTCTCCTTTATATAGCCTAAGATGGCTGATCCTACACTTATGTTCCAGGTACCATCCTGAAGACATGCTAGGAGGCACCAATGAGAGATACTCTCGTTTTTAAAGGTAAGGTCTAATGGTTGCATGCATAGCTTCTCTTTGAATTTTATTAGCTGTAACTTTATCACATGACCATTCAAACAGCAAACAAGGCTTAGACATTCAGTTCTTAAGTGGGCAGCCATAATCTACATAAAAACTGTATTACATAGATGAAGTGGAGAGTGAATAGAGGGTTCCTGTAGTTTTACTGTGAGTCATTTGGCATTTTGTCCACACATCTGTTAGGCCTGGAAAGTTGTTTGTTTCAGAATGCTTGCTATTTGTTAATTTTTAAAAAACTGCTCAATATCTGCCACAAATGTTTTATATGTTGTCTATGAATTGCTAAGGAAATTATAAGTCTTTTTAATCTCACCAATATATTATAACAGTTTCACCAACTAGGGATCAAGCATTCACATAGATGAGCCTATGGGAGCCATTCTCATTTAAACCATCACACTGCTTTTTTTTTTCCCCTGAGAGTAGAGTGGAGAGAACAAAAAACATAAATTTGGATGGGTAGGAAGGTTTGTTGGTTGGATCTGGCAGGAATTGGGGGAGAGCAAAACATGATTATATTGTATGAAAAAATTAAATAAAAACAAGGGAGAACAAAGTCATCACTTCACATCCTTTTTATGATGAGGATATTTACAATCTATTCTTTTGAAATACAAAATATGTTATTAATTATGATTAACTTACTGAATGATGGGTAACTAGAGTTTATTCCACTAGAGGCCAGGGGTTGGTGGAATAGGAAGGCAAAGTAGGAACATTAGCTAAAGGGTTAAAAATATTTCTTTGTATAAAGGGATATTGTACCTTAGGTCTGTTACTTCTCTGAAGAAATACACATAAATGACAATGTCTTTTTACCTTTCCTTTAGGGTTAAGTGTCCAGTATGGTATGGTAAGAGTCTATGAATTAAGTTAAAATTTTCTCCCCATTATTTTGATTAATACATCTTTTGCACCTGGGATGGCCATGCTCAGTTCTATAAGAAAGCAGGCTGAACGAGCCATGGGGGAAAAGCCAGAGTCTTAGGGTTTCTGTTGCTGTGAAGAGATGTTACGACCACAGCAACTCATACAAAATAAATCATTTCATTGGGGGTAGCTTAAATCTCACAGGTTTAGCCCATTGTCATCATGGTGGGAAGCATGGCAGTGTGCAGGGTGACACAGTGCTGGAGACGGAACTGGATGTTATACATCTGGATCTGCAGGCACTAGGAAGGGAGAGGTACTGGTCCTGGCTTGGGCATCTGAAACCTCAAACTCCATCCGCAGTTACATATTTTCTCCAACAGAACTGCACCTACCCCAACAAGGTCACACCTCCTAATAGTGTCATTTACTGGTGACCAAGTATTTAAATATATGAATCCATGAGGACCATTTTTGTTCAAACCACCACCTCCAGTAAGCAGCTGTTGTGTGACAAACCTTTTCCTGGGGAGACACAACATAAACATCTGCTCACCCC